TCCCTACAACCATTACATAAGCTTTGTTATAATTATAATCGAATACCTTTTATGCGCGAGAATTAATAATCACGGATAAATAAATAAATTTAAAAAATATTTTTTGTCCGTCCACAGTCTATGATATGCATTTAAGAGACTTTCGCTTCATTTATGTAAATTACTCCGATTAATCTGTCTCGCGCCGACAAAATGTTCGATCGAAGGCAGAGATTGCGTTCGCCGAAATAACTGAAAATTCCTCAGGAAATCATAACATAGGCTTAGATACACATGTATGAATTAAAAAAACTACAATTAAGGGAGTTAGTGTCATCTTAAATGAGTACTTAAATGAGTACTTAAACATCGCGTGAAATTATGATAATGTTCGCTAATGATTTTTATTATTATTGTTGATTATCAATCGCTAATCGAATTCTGTTGAATGGCTCTACAATAAAAATTGAAAAAAAATATATTTTTAAAATATTTTAAATTTATTATTTTTTCTCTCTCTCTCTCTTTCTCACTCATTTTAGAATTTAAGACTACAAGAATTGGTAAATCCCACATTGCCATAACGAGCCGCTTACACGCAACTATTCGCTTATCTGCGAGCGTGAGCAACGCTCGTAGACAACGGGGCGAACACGAAGGGAGAACACGCGGTTGCCGTCGTCGCGACGGCTGCAGTTGAGGCGCATGGCAGAGAGGCGTCGGGTTAGACATGCGATCTGTATACATTCCGGAGACGATTGAACGCGGGCAAACCAGTCAAAAGTAATCTCTGTTTTGTCCCCCCTCGTTCTCCCTCTCTTCCGCCCTCGCGTTTCTTTTTTAATCGTGTTTTCGCTTCCACTCGTAGTCGCGGCGTTGGAGTTTTGTCGGCGAGGGGACGAGAACGAGGTACGAAAGAGATACATAATGCAATATCGTGATGGTAGAGAATACAGACAACGTAAATATACTCGCCCGCTTGGATCGCATCGTGTTTAGATATTTATAAAAATGAGAAATGTATTCTCGCGCGCGTGATAAAGAAATGAGTAATATGAAGATAGGGAATAAGTATAAGGGATATTTCCCACGTCGAATATAAATCAGAGAGAAAGAGGGAAAAAGAGAGAAAAATTATACTTTTGCAAATTTTTGAATCTCGAAGCGCGAGAGACGGCTCATATTATCCTTTCCCCTGAAAAGTGTTCGTCTGATAACTTAGGGAAGGAATATTATGACGCCGAATGTACGAGGAACAGAGACGAGGAAAATAACGATAGCGCACCGTCCCCGTCGTCGAGAGCGGTAGCAACGCCGGGCAAGGGAGGACGCACCACGCGTTATCGACCGCTCGAGAGGCTGCGGGGGTGAGCGCGAACGCCGCGTTCGTTGGCACCACGTGACGCGGCGGATGCGAACGGGAAGGCCGCGCGGGAAATGTACGAAGGGACGAAGCCGACGGCAACCCCTGCGAGCTTTACCCTTCGCGCGCGCGGCCGACCTTCTCTCTTCCCGCCCTTGTGTTAAAGTACCTCGCGATAACGTACGCGTTCCACTGTACCCACCTACGGACCCTTCTCTCGCCTTACGCCTGTTCTATCCATCCTCTCCGTCCCCTCTCCCTTTCACCCTTTATGAGCGACCGTAACCCGTAACGGAGCATCCCGCGTGATACGAGAAATCGCCCGACCCTCCCCCTCGAGATATCGAACTGCAGGGACGCGCGGTCTGGGGGGGGAAGGGGATTGAATGTTCGAGGAAAGGGTCGCCCGACTTAATGCAGTTTCAAGAAAAGGGACGGATTGGGGGTGGAGGAGGGTAAATTGGAAGGTTTAGACTCTCGCGCGCGATTCTACTCTTGCTCGAATTATGACACCCGGTGAAGATGGGGGAAGCTACGTCAGCGAATTTTATCAATGATGTATAAAATTGAGATTGTATTCTGAAATTTATATTTCAGAATATTATTTTATTTCTGAAATATCAAAGTATTTTTCTATCCCAAGAAATAGATATATAGGATATGTATTTTATCCAATAATATGTTAGATGATTAAAAATTTTAATAATGGAAGGAAAATATAATATTATGGTATTTCTCTATTTCTCGATACGTCGGAAATATATAGTGAAATATATAAAAATTATATATATAAATACATGGATATAAAATAAGTATGAGATTTTTTTTAAATTAATGAGTTGCAAAGATCAAAGAAGATTTACTTGATAATGATTAAAATAGCGAGAGAATAAAAATAAAAAGATTCGAAGAAATAAATTAGAATCGAAGGTATGGAAAATAGTTTTCTAATTAAAGTGCCATATTGTCATTAATGATATATATTTTTCGCAAAAAAGAAACTCTATTAAAATATATTTTATATATTATTTAATTACGTGCAATATATTTCTACTTTTATACATTTCTACAAGAAATATACTAATCATTTCTCTAGTATGAAAATCATATGTAATATGAAACAGGAATTAATATTTGGATTTAACGCTAAATGTTGGAGGAAACTATATATATATATATATATAT